GCAAAAACAAGACAAAAACACAATAAACGCTCAACACACATCTTTTGATAGACCTATGTCCTGAATAAAGTCTGCTACCAGAAGATGAAATAGATACAAAAGAAAAATAGATATATACTGTTTAATTTTAACAATAGAAATCACCGTTAATATGAACGATGCAAGAAATTACCCTGGTATATTTAGTAAGAACAACATGTAATTTGACCATGAGAACTTTACAGTCAGTTTTGCATTTATTTATAACACTTTAAAAAAAAATTATATCCTTTTATTTTGTTACACTAATTGTCTTGCTATTTCTTCCAATACATCATTCGATAGCACATGGTATAGACTCAAACATCTTGTGCATTCCATACGATTGTTTTGTTTTTCTTAGGAGCCCTGATGGCCTAGTGGTTCTGAGCTGGGCTGCCATCCATACGATTCTTTCCATGAGATCATTTTATCAGAAAGTGTTGAAAGAAGTTTGAATGCAAGATTATTTTAAAATGATAAATCCAGAGTAGAAAGTTTCTTATAAACTTTTATTCTTGACATAGATGAAAAACAGTTACAGTTGAGTCACTTCTAAGTGCCAGATGTTATAGAGCTTGTTTATATTTATCTGAGTAATTTATTGAAGCTGGTGAACTAGCTTTGGGCTAGAACTTATAAATCATGTTCTTTCTATCCTTTTCCCAAGTATCATCCCCATGTGAATTTAAGGCATATCCTGTGTCTGTTTTGAACTGAAGTAACTAGCGCACTGAAGTCTGAAAGACTAGTCGATTCACAAGCTTTCACAGCAAAGGGAGGTAGCTGATCTCCCACTGAAGAGAAACGTTTTTATAAACTCATCTCCTGTAATGAAAACACAAAACATAGGACCCTAGCTTAGTGAGTGTATCAAATTTTATGACTACAAATAAGAAAACACGCTGAAAAGAAAAAATCACATGAATCAAACTGTAAAATAGTAAATGGAGTCCCTGGGTGGTGGTACAATGATGAGCATTCTTGTTAGGTCTGGTGGTACTAGAAACCCCTGCCTGGTGCTTTGAACTACTGATCTATGGTTAGCAACTCAGTTTGTAACCACTGCACTGCTAGGGCTCCTGTAGTAGCATTATGTGCATGGCTTTATTTTTGCTTAAAATGGTTCTCACTTTATTAATAATAACATCAAAGATGTGATGAAATTTATCTAAGGAAACCTAACCTATAATATCAGAGTAAAACTCAAAACTATTTTTCTGACTTCAAAACCATCACCACCACCCCCCACCTTCCTCTCTTTCTGTCATAGTAGCTAGCAGTAGTTGTGGATAAAAGCTCATTTGGCATTTTATCAACTTGAGTTCACTATTAATAATAAAATCCATCTTATTTTTTCCCATACTTAATATCTATAATAATAACCCCAAAGTAATGATATGGCTAGTTTATATGTGTAATCAGTTGGAGAATCAAAATGTTATTCTCTTCATTAGCATCTTAGTGGCATCCAGGAGCCCTGGTGGCACAGTGGTTATGCATTGGGTTGGTAACCTTATGGTCATCAGTTCTGAACCTTAGTAGGAGAAATAGGAGACTTTCCACTCCCATAAAGATTTACAGTCTTGGACATCCACAGAGCAGTTTTACCCTATCCAATAGGGTCACTATGTCTCAGAATCGACTCGAGGACAGTGAGTTTAGTGTTTGAGTTTGGTTATAATTCATCACTTCATGTAATAATTATATTTATGAATAAAAAAACTATACTAGATTATATTGTAATGCTTTTTATATACTTAATCAGGCTGTGGTCTCCTTGAAAGAAGGAAAAGAAGCCTATTTCCTCTAAGTGTCTCTAGGACCAAGAATCGTAAGGAATATTCATAGTAGCAAATGTTTGGAAGGGATAAATTGTGTTATAGGGAATGCATGATGTATTTTTCTGTGTGCCATATTATTTGATAGACCAGAAAACTCCACTCACTCTCTATAGTAGAAAAACATTTATAAATTATAAATCCTGTTACCTATTTTGCATAGTGTATAATAGATATAAACTAAAGTAATTGAGATCAGTTTGTGTGACAAATATTAAGCCAATTTTTTCTTATGAAGGATGAGATTTTAAGAATAAACATATGGAGAAACTGAAGCCCAGAGAGAGTATGTAAACACTATCATTTATGACACAGCTAGCTAAATTCCAAAACAGTATTACCACCCATGCTTATTTGCTTGGTCACTTTTTTCTTTATTAATTAGTTTTTTCATAAAAATATACATAATATAACTTTTGACAGCTCAATATTTTTCATGGGTATATGTAGAATTAGACACTCCTGGTTAGAGATGGACTCAAACTTGTCAATCAAGTGGTAGCTTGACGACACCTCTTTGTGGGTGTGGCCTTTCATATGAGAGTGAAAGACTGAGAACTGCCTCTCTACCTTCTGCTTTACCTTCCTCCTCATTAGAATTTCTCTAGGACTCTGCTGCAGTGCGGGTCTGGGGAAGGGGATGTAGGCCTCTGGACTCTGAGAGCTGCTGCCCCCTGGTTATGTTCCCACCAACCTTTGATCCACGGGACTGTGCACCCATCAGCCTATGGTCTTCCTATTTCCTGGTTCACCTTTCTTTAGGGTCCACCTGCTTCTACATGAGTCTGAAGAGGGATTGTGAACTACCCTCAGACTTATGGACTTGAGGTTGGACTGGACTGGGATGTCCTCTTGATATATAAATACTTCATAACATAAAGCTGTCACATACACATACATGAGTGTCACTGGATTTGTTTCTCCAGACAACCCAGCCTAACACAGTAAGATTCAGGAAGGCCAACTGTATCAATCATGTGAAATTATCATCAAAATGTGCTGCCGTATTTTCCATTACCATTAGCAGATTCTCAGCGTTATAAATCCAATGTTTCCTCTTTCCCCCTTCTCAGTCTGAGTAACCACTATTAAACTCTTATCTCAATACATTCACCTATTCTAGGTATTTCATATATGTAAGATCGCACAATATCTGTTATTTTGTGATCAACTTACTTCACTCAGCATAGTGCTTTCAAAATCCATGCGTCTTGTGTCATGTGCCAGGACTTCATTTCTTTTTGTGACAGGCAAAATCTACCACATATGCATACTAGCTTTCATCTGCTGAAGGACATTTCGTTTCAGTTGTTGTGACCTTTACACTTTGTGAATAGTAAAGCAATAATCATTGGTATGCCTGCATCTATTTGTGTCGCTATTTTTACATGATTGGGGTATTTATCAAACAGTGGAATTGCTGGGTCAGATGGCGCCTCTAATTTTAACTTTTGGAGGAGTCATCAAACTGCTTTCCAGAGTACTCTACCCTTTTGCATTCTCATCAGCTATGGATAAGGGTTCCAATTTCTCTCTATCATCACCAGCATGTGTGATTTTTCCTTTTAATGACTATTTTTAAAATATAATTCATCCTAATGGTGATGAAGTAGCATCTCACTATACTTTTTATTTGCAGCTTCCTAGTGTTGGCACTGGAGGTTAAGCCTTGGGCTGCTAACTGCAAGTCTGCAGTTCCAATCCACTCCATGGGAGAAAGATGCTGCTGCTGGTTATAATAAAGATCCCCAGTCTCTAAAGCCATATGGAGCAGTTTTACCTCATTATATATGAGGGTATGCCCCCCAAAATAGAATTTTTTTTCAAAGTTATGTATTTAACTTTTTTTACAAAACAACCTATCACCTTCAAAGTGCTCTCCATTATACTTAATACATTTGTCAAATCTGCAATTCCATTCTTGGAAACATGTTTCAAACTTAGCTGTTTTGATGGCTGACAGCACCTCCCTCATTTTTTTCTTCACCTCTTCTTCTGTCATCAAATCACTGTCCTTTCTGTCCCTCTTCATTCTCAGAAACAAAAAGATGTCACACTCATCAAGGTCAGGTGAGTAAGTTATGTGGGGCAAGAAAGCGTGCTGGTTTTTCCCAAAAAAAACTGGCACACTGAGATGGCTGCTTGATTAGGTGCATTGTCATGGTGGCAAAACCAGTCCCCCATCTGCCGCAAATCAGGCCTTTTTGGTCACATATTGTTACACAATCTTTTCAGAACTTCTAAATAGAAAGCTTGATTAACAGTCTGACTCGGTGGAACAAACGTTTTCGTCCATTTGGGAAGTTGACAGAAGTCCAGAATGAGAATTATCATCAAGTGATATTTCACTTTTTTTGAAATGAGAAAACCACTCATACACTTGAGTTTTTCCCACAGCAGTGACCTTGTAAACTGTGTCCAACATCCCAACAGTCTCTGTGGCATTTTTCCTGAGCAGGAAAGAAAATTTCATAGCTGCACGCTGTTCTCTTAAATCAGCCATAACAGCAACAACAAAAATGCAGTTAGAGCAAAACTGCTTTTATGAAAAACTCACTGTGACCAGAGAGAATCTTTCCAGGTGACACCACTGAGTGCACTAACTCAGAGCAAGTTGCTTGGTGCTCTCCCAGCAAGAAAAGTGTGCACTACAAAAGCTCTGATCTGCCCAGCGCAATTGTGGCTTTTGTTGGTGTTTTTGTTGCTTTGCGTACCCCTGCTCTTAGTCAGTGTTAATTGATGGCAGTGGTGTAATGGCTAATGAAGGGGGCCTGGTAGTGCAGTGATTAATTGCTCAGCTGCTACCTGAAGTGAGTATTTGGAACACAACAGCCCCTCTTTGAGAGAAAGATGTGGCAGTCTGCTTCTGGAAAGATGACAGCCTTGTAAACTGTGGGCGATTCTACGCTGTCCTATAGGGTCACTAGGAGTTGGAAATGACTCTATGGCCATGAATTTGGGTGTTCACTTTATTTTTAAAATTTGTTCAATGACATTGAACTTTTTAAAAATAATAAGTCTATTTGTGTATCTGCTGTGGTTAAATATTCAGATCATTTGTCCTTTTTCAGTTTTGATGTTTGTATTTTCCTTATTAACTTTTACAGTTGTATAAATGGAGAATCAAAAATATAAGTGTCAATACTTACCTGGCATGGGAGATACCATGATCATGAAGGTGGTTTTCCCGGGGCGAGGTTTATCCATTGCACTCTGGATGTGCTGACCCCTGTGATTTCCCCAAATGTGGGAAACAGCTACATAATTTGTGGTAGTGGAGGACTGTGTTTGCTCTCTCCCCTGTAAAAAAAAAAAAAAATATATATATATATATATATATATATGCACACAAAAGCATTCATTTTATCCTTCTGAATCACAATTTCTTTATGCATAATGAGATTGTTTTAGGGGTCATAATAGTTAATGTTATGTGGTAAATTACAATTCTCAGTAGTTTTATAGGGATTGCGTTAATTCCCTTTTAATAATGAAATATAATATAATCACCTCTATGATATGATATGATTTGATCAACTATTAGTTGTAAGAGGCGTTTCCTCAGGGGTGTGGCCTATGTCCAATATATATGGATGTTGAAGTCTGGATGCTAAATCTGACTTCTTGTTATCTGTCCTATGGTTCTTGGGCCATCTGACCTCTGTCAGCCTCTGAAATCATGTGAACCAAAAGAAGCTTCTATACTGACACCTGATCCAAAAATACTGTGACTTGCCAGCCCTCAAAACTTGTATGAGTCAGCTATTTGAGTTAAAACTCTCTGTATAAATTTAAGAAGAGTCCTCATAGTGTATGAGTTAAGTATTAGACTCAGGGCATTTCAAAGCCATCGGGTACTACATGGGAGAATGAGGCTGTCTGATCCCATAAAAATGACAGTCTTAGAAACTCTAAGGAGCAGTTATACTCAGTCCTAAGGGTTGCGATGAGTTGAAAATGACTCACTGACAGTAGGTTAAACTTTTTGGCTTGGTATATTTATATTTCATTCATTTGCTCTTCTAGAGAATCAAGTCTAAGGCAGTAGTTCTCAACTTGGGTGTTATAATCCTTTGAGTTGTTTAGAATTATATATGGTACGTTTTGGTTTGTTATCATGGTTGTGGTCACTACTGGCAATGTATATATAAAACCCAGGGAAAATAAATGTTCTTCATATTGGTGGAACTCACAAAATAAAACATCTTTTGCGTGTATATACCAAACTTTCTTTATCCATTTCTTCTACTGATGGACATTTCTGTTATCTCCTTGCTATTGTGAACAGTGCTGTGATGAACATGGGAGTACATTTGTCTGCACATGCTATATCTCTTACTTCTTTAAGATATATATGAAAAAAAAGATATATATGCCCAGCAGAGGTATTATTGAATACTATGGGATTTCCACTCCCAGTTGTTTTGGGAAGCACCATATTGTTTTCCACAATGGTTGTGCATATTTACAGACCCACCAGCAGTGTATGAGAGTGTCCATCTCTTCACACCCTCACTAGCATTTGTTGTTTGCTGATTTGTTTTTTTCATTGGGCAATCACTGTTGGTGCAACATGACATCTCACTGTTAACTTGATTTGCATCTCCCTGATGGCTAATGATCACAGGGAGCATTCATCTCTAAAAGCAATGATGACAAATCATCTCACATCATTATTGACTTTGGAAAACATTATGCCGAATGAAGCTAGTCCATCACAAAAGAACAAATATTGTCTGAGATCACTAGTATAGTGATTAAAAAATAGCCAAAAACTTTCATACCAATAGGAACAAATTTTGGAGGTTTTCAAGGGAGGGAGAACAAGCTTGGGACATTGAAACAATGTACTATAAGGCTGACAGGTATTGACTCTGGTGAAGGAAAGGATAGAGATTCATGAGGAAGAAGAAAAATCAAGGAAAGGAGGTGGGATAAAATATGGGGGTAGAGGTGGATGAGTGCTTTGAACTGTTGACTGATGAGCTGATGATCTGAAATGTACACCCCCACCAGCACACACACACCTAAGTCACAATAAAAAATACATTTAAAAATTATTAACCATACTGACCTGGCAGGGGAGATGCCGAGGTAACGAGGGTGGTTTTCCTGGGACGGGGCTTGTTCATTGCACTCCGGATGTGCTGACCCCTGCGATTTCCCCAGGTGTGGGGGGCTCAGCTGCATAATTGGTGGTGGTGGGGGACTCCGTTCGCGCTCTCCCCTGGAGAAAAAAAAGAAGAAAAAAATTTATTAACCAATATGATAAAAAAAATCTCATAAGGCATACTGTGCTTGAGAAAGCATGTCTTTTTGTCTCACTACGTGATTAAAAGGTGACACTAAGGTTATTTCTTTGCCTTAGGAAACAAAAAGCAATTAGGGTTGTTTTTTTTTGTCATCTTTTCTTTCAATGTGACTTTACATTATCTTGCAAGAATTCAGGAAGAGTTAAGGAAGCCAGGACTATATTACGAAGCAAAACAGACTCTGTGTCAAGTTCTGTATAGGTTCTGGGGAATCCACTTGAGTCACTTTTGTATTATCTAAGAGCTAAAATATTAACCATGTTGCCAAATAAGGATAAGTATATTTTTGACTATAGATGTTTTAGCTCACAGTTCTTAGTATCTGAAATTACTCTGACTTTGGACAAGTGGGTGTGAGAGAGAGAAAACAGCGATTGAAGAAAAGCTTCAGGAGGTTCCAAGGTGCCGACTTCACCAGCCTGTTACACAGAGGACAACCCAGGGGCATGTGCATCTTCTAATCAGATATGAATCAGGCTGGGACTTGTACTTAATGGAATGGGGCTTGAACTCTGAGGACATCTTTCAGGAGGCTGAGGAAGCTGTGCTATTTATGGTCTTTTTGTGGTAGGGCTACTGACACATCCTTTTATTACTAGAACTTAAAATCTAACATCGGGGTGCTTTTATCCTATTGGGTACAGACTGAAGGTTTTTACACATTCTTTTCAAAAATGACATTACTCTCTTGATTAAACAAGGGCATTATGATAAATTTATCAGCTTCTATTATAACACAGGGAGTATAAACCCTAATTGTACTGTTATTCAAATTTCTAAACATTTAAATATATTTCAAATTGTATTGATCTTTGCTACATATTTTTAATTAGGTTACTTATATTTAATTAGGTTACTTATATTAACTTGACACTCAGTAAGGAAAAATATTTTTGGCTGTCAGTATTTTAATTTCTACTTTGTATTGCTTATGTTGCTAAGAACAATGCTAGGTCCATGAATTATGTGAACACTTACACTGAATTATTGAATTAAATCCATTCCAGGAATTACAGATTTTCAGAAAGCTTACCTCTGTATAGGGGGTAACTTCTGTAACTATGGCAGAGCATTGATGAATTTTCCATTTTAATAGCTTGTTAGTTCTGTGAGTCAAAAAAAGATGGAGTCTGATATACAGTAGGTATTGACTGGTATTTCATTATCTCTTCAAAGCTTGTGTGAACTTTAATTGTATCACTTATAGAAATTAATAGCAAAAACTACTGTCTTTCAAGTTCTGACTAATTTTTGTTTTACTTTTTAAACCTGCTTGTTAATATTTGCATTCATTTTTTTATTTTTTCAAAGCATAAGGAGATTTTTCTTAAGGACAGAACAAAGTTATTTACTCCAAATTTATTTGAGAAATATCAGTTGATGTTTTAAATGCAAATTTTCCCAGCTTATATAGCCTCTTTCTTTTATTTATGTGAGAACAGCACTTGGCCTTATGTATGTGAAGATGTACTGCCAGAGAAGTATTTCAATGTTATTGCTGATAAAGTTATGTATGTTTTCTGTCTATACAAAGATCCTGGAGACCGGGGGGAACAATTTGCTTCAGCACTCCAATCAGTACATTTACTTTATTTCTTATGGGTCTTGATTTGATTTTTCATTGAAGTTTTATTTGATATCAGTACATTTTATTTTCATCTAAAGTTTTACCTTGTGACATAAGGGAAATTTCCTTCCTTCGGGCTAATTATAACAAGTTTTGAGACCAATATTCTTTCCATGAGCATTCTTAAGGGAAGTGGTTGGTTTAACTTGCTCCTTCCTTACCATGACCACTTTCCTTTCTGACTTCATCGTCACCATTCTCCCCTTAAATTCCCATACTTCACTTCTTTACACTGCTCCACTACTTTAGGGTTTCACATTTGCAACCTTGTGCTTATAGAAAGCTCTGAACTTAGAGTTTCATAAGCACGTCTCCATTTCATTTTTTGGATCCTAGTCCAAATGCAATTTCCAGAGAGAAGTCTTATCTAATCACAGAATAAGATATAACTGGTCCATCAGTTATTATCTATAATGTCATCATTTTAAATTTATTATACCATTATTCTGATACTAATAGCATTAATATTATAAATATTCATGTTTACTTGTTTACCTGTTTCATTTGGTGGAGGTAGAGGGAGATTTGTTTTGTCTCAATTTTTGTTCATCATCATGCAACCCAGAATATAAATCCCATGAGAGGAGAATTGTTCACAACTGAATCCATAAGATATTGATAAGTATGGTCTAGAGTAGTGAGAAACACAGGGCTTTCTAACCCCATAAGTGTTACAGTCTTAGAAACGAATGAGGACAGTTGTACCCTGTCCTACAGGGTCACTATGAATCCACGTGCACTAGATCACAGTGATTGTGGTTTCCCTTCTGGCTTATAGTAGGTATAGTTTCATTGTAGTGAAACTTAAAATTCCTGTAATTTCTATCATTTAAAATTATTTGACAATTATGCATAGAGGGGCATTTATAGACTATCTTATTCAAATTTTGATTAAAAATATATAAACTGAAGCCCTGAAAGACAGATCAACTTATTTGATTTCACAAAGCTGGACAGTGAGAATTAAGTTCTGAGTCCTATAATATTGTGTTCTCACCACATCATGCTTCTAGTAGTAGAAATTATCTGAGCAGTCTTATTTAGGTCTACAAAGGCTTATCTATAATTCTAAAATTCCAAAGCTCAGAAGTACCATAAGTTTTGTTAAACCTTGGCATCAAAATACATTTGGTGGCAAAAATATAGCAAACATAAATGTGAAGCTATTTATAGATTATTTTTATATCCTACTTACTGTGGACACTCATATATTTCATTGCAGAAATACTAATGTGTGATTCCAAGCTTCTGTCCCAGATATTGCTAAATGCTATTATGTCATATCTAATACATATAATGTGTTAACTTTTCTTATATCCATTTATATCTGAATTCTAAAACATATCTCACCCCCAAGGTCTTTTAAAGGAGGGATTATAGACAGATTTTAAACATATGCTCTTGCTCACACTGAAATCAGGGGATGAATAACAATTTAACCATGAAAGTGAGTCAAGAAGAAATCATTTAGTTTAACAGCCTTGTCATGCAGATGAGAAAGCTGGGGGATTAAATAAGTTATAACAAATCACAAAGTGAAAAGCTCAAAATCTAAGATTCCTAGTCTATAAAATTCTCTATCAAAACACAAGCAGGACAGAACATTACATCTTGTGTGTTACTGTCTATTATGCATCATTTCATACAGATCATCATCTTGTTAATTTTCACAAATACATGAAGGATATTACAATATTATAATATTATTTGGGTGAAGTTCTTTGAGAAATTATATAAGGTGCCCAAGGTCACATAAGTAAAAGTAGAACAGGCGGTGTTTGGACTCAGGACAGTCTGTCTCTTAAAACTATGATTGCGCCATAGCTTCTAATTCACAAGACTTTCATAAAATTAAGGTCATCATATGAGTCTTTGAAATGATTTATGAACCATGAATCTTCTTTTTAATTGTTGAAAGTAATCCAAATAAAGTTTTGAAAAGATCATAAGGAATTTAAATGTGTATAGAATAGGCCACGTTTTTCCTTATCATAATGCTGGAGTTTTCAGATCATTTTCCGAGCTTCACACTCATAGTGTGATAGTAATAAGACCTTGACATTCCAAATCCACTAATGATCCACCTTCTCTATAAGACCAGATCATTGATGGCAAAGATGAATTATTTAACAAAGTAAATTATTGCTCTGTTGCAAACTGAAGTCATATATCTTTCTTAAAGGAAAATGTATATATACATATGTTGTTGTTTTAGGTACTATTTAGTACAGGAGAGTAAAACACTGTTATGTTTGAGCCAAACATAGGAACAACTGTGAGGATGGCACAGGACCTAGCAATGTTTCTTTTTGCCGTACTTAGGGTTATTATGAGTCAGAACTAATTTGATGCGCCGAACAACAACAACAACAAATATACATACAAGGGGGTACTCCCCGCCAAAAATGGCAAAAAGCTCCCCAGGAGGAGTTTTTGTAGTGTGCATTTTTCCCAGTAGGCAAGGATCCAGTGACTCCTGAGTTAGTGCACCCAGTGGCATCACCTGGGAAGGTTCTCTCTGATCACAGTGAAATGTTTTGTAAAAGTAGTTTGACTCAAACTTCATTCCTTGGGAATGGCCGATTTAAAAGAAAAGCACGGGGCTGTGAAATTTTGTTTCCTGCTCAGGGGAAAATGCCACAGAAACTCTTGTGATGATACATACAGATTACAGGGACAGTGCTATGGGAAAAACTCAAGTGCATGAGTAGTTTTCTCATTTCAAAATAGGTGAAATGACAATTGATGACGTACCTCATTCTGGACATTCATCAACTTCCCAAATGAATGAAAATGTCAACTCATAGTGCGTTTGGAGTTCATTCCAACAGATCAGACTGTTACTAAAGCTTTCTATTTAGAGGTTATGAAAAGATAGTGTAAGAGTGTGTGACAGAAAGGCCTGATTTGTGGCATACAGGGGACTGAGTTTGCCACCACAGCAATGTACCTGCTCACGCAGCCATCTCAGTGCACCAGTTTTTTTGCAAAAAATACCCTGCCTCTCTTTCCCCAAACACCTGACTCACCTGGCCTTGCTCTGTATGACTTCTTTTTATTTCCATCAATGAAGAGGGACATAAAAGGACAGCAATTTGATGACATACAATAGTTGAAGAACAAAATGAGGGAAGTTTCTTCCATATGGGCTTTATGCTTCTCAGCTAGATGTCTGCTTGTATGTCTTCAAGCCTTTAAGACCCCGGATGCTATATCT